TTTCCCTCTTCATTTAGATGAGAGATCCTTGGAGCAGCAAAATTTTTCCTTTTTCTCAGTGGACTCAAAGATGCACGAAAGCATATCAGGCAGCAGGACACAAATGGCCTTAGCAAAAAGTACTTTGGAGTCCCAAGAAAGTAATTTCCTTCAAACGGTTTTATCATCAGTTACCACTCCTTTTGATGTGACATTATTTAACCAAGAAGAAACGGTCAGGATGTCAGAAGGGAGAAGTACGCCGTTGGTAGATGACTCTGTAACAAGCAATGAGGCTTTCTTAAGTGACGATGAATTTATTAGTTCATTTCCAAAGGCACAGTGGACTCCTCCACTGAAGTCTTTTGTAGTTTTAACAGATCATCACTCAGTTAATACAGTAGAGCCACCAAGAGAAATGTTAGAAACTGGTTTGCTAACACCTTCATTATCTGTCCTTTTTTCACCATATGACATCTCAAAAACAGCAGAGCAGAAGACTCCATTGAGCACTGTCCCTGAACACAGTAACGCTCCGACTGAATCAAAGCCTTTTGTACCAGATAGTGAAATGCTAACACCAAGCAGAGACGTGCAGTTGTACCCTCCAAATACAGCTATTTATTTGACTTCCATTCTTTCAGAGGCAGGAGTTGCAGTGCAGAAAAACATAAATGCAAGTTTAACAGCTTTGCCTTTTGGGGCTGCTTCAGAAAGGTCATCTTTTCTTCTCAAGCTGCTGGATGAAACCAATCTGGCGACCGCAGGTGCCACAGCACAAAGTGCAGATCTGTATGGTGACGTTTATGCTGATGCAAGTAGCAGGGCAGCAGAAACTCTTAGTCTAAGGACCTACCCCTCTCCAAGCATTCCCTGGGCCATGCTGACTTCAGCAGCCAGTGCTGAGCCTGCTTTGTTTCCTGTTAGTCTTCCACTTGCGTCTTTCCTGCTTCACTCAGCTGCCATTTCCGTGGACTCTATTAGAGTTCTTAATGCCAGCCTGTTTACACATGAATCCTCCAGTACAGCACCAAATTTGCCTGCCGGTTCAGAAGTACCAAGTCAACCAGAGCTTTTCAGTGAGCTCTTGAGTCCAGTGCCTTTCACAAGATCATACAGTTCTTGTCTGTATTGTGACTCAGTTTCACTTCTGCCTGAAGCAGGCTTTTCCCCAGAACAGGACGTGGGCTCAGGTGATTATGTTGAAACTTTGTCCATCAAAGCCTCTGAAGTACAAGGCGTAACTCCATTTACAACTATAATTACTGACGAGCATGAACTAGAGGAGCCTATGCCTGAGACTTTTGATACTTCTTTTCCATCAAGACCAGTTGTTTCATTTTCTTCAAGATTTGCAGAAATCCCTGATTCAAGTATATTTTTATTAAGCACTGTGGACACTGTCCTTTACACTAGAACACCTATAACAATTTCTCCTTCTGACTATCAGCTTGCTGAAGGAACATCACTGAGCATCTCTGTTCCTCAGTTTTCCCTCCCTGTTCTGGAAACAGCTTCATTGACACCAAGCACTCACACAGAACTTCCTGGTGCCACCACCGTTCTGTTTGACTCTACCTTCATTCAGAGTGAGCCAGTAGCATCATTTGCAGTCAGTTATACAACTTTGCTGGAGTTGCCAGAATTAATGCCATCAGCATCTGTGGTTTTGCTTGACAAGACGTCTACAAGGGAGGAACCGTCTTTAAGTATTTTGGATTTCTCATCCAGTCTTTTATCAACACCATTTCTTATTGAACCTAGCTACTTCTCTCTATCATTGGCCATGCTAAATTCTTACTCTGTTACGGAAAGTGATTTATCAACACTCTTACCTCAGACCTCGTTGATTGGAACGTCAGTATTTTCTGAGGATGTTTCCAGCTGGGACTTCACTACCACTGTCAGCTCAGCCACTGATTCTGAGGTTTCTCAGTTCCCTCTCAGCCAAACATCATACTTGTATTCAAATGCATCCTCTGTTCCAGGTGCACGTCTTCCTGAAATAATGCCGTCATCAGATTTTCACTCTGGGTCGTCTGTGTTTCTTGAAGCACCCTCAGTATTGCCATCAGGCTCCGAAGTTGTGTTTACCTCAGCTGTTACAGGAGCTACCTCTCAGCTGGAGCCTTCACTCTCCACCTCTCACTCTCTGGTTACTACTCTGGTGCTGCCTGCTTCCAACACCCAGTCTCTTACCAGCAGCATCTTGCTCAATGAAACAAATCTGATCTCTTTGTTTACTACCTTTCCAGCAACTCCTGTCTTAAGTGTATCTTCATCTGTGCTCTCAACTGCTCTGGCTTCTGATGAGGATATTGGTGCTACAGTTAGCCCCACGCTGCTTTTAACATCTCGCAGCGAGGGCAGTGCCCACACAACCCTTCCTTCTGCAGACCTTGACAACCTGACGTCAAGGGTTGACACCATCAGTGTGATGCCCTTTCCTACAGCATCTCTGTCAGTGACGACATTGTTTGCTCCCACCCAGTTTCGTCCGACTTCTACCCCTGCCACTGAATACGAAGTTCCAGCAGGAAGCAGTGTAACTTCTGGTACTGGTACATCGGCTGCTTCCACCACTGTCCCCACGACCACAGCCACCAGTGCTGCGGGCAGCCACAGCACAACTGCTGCTGACAGCCTGCCGACATTCTCCTCCACCCCTCTGGTGACTACTTCTCCATCTGAACCTGTGGTTGTAACCTCTGCAGTGAGCACTACCAGGCAACCCTATGTCTGCGACATCACGGTTCCTGATGCTTACTTAGTTACTGCAGGTAAGATACTCCTAATATTTTTGTTTTGGTTTTCAGAAGCTGCTGTAATGGGACCCCTGGTTAAACTGTAGATATTGAATTAACTAAGACAACCTTTTGAAGAAATATGGTGTAAATTTAGACAAACAGCTGTAAAAGTGGTAATTTATCATTTACTCTTGAAAAATAATAGAATTCATTTGAGCAAAGTCCATTGTGATAGTGAGTTACATACATGTTACCCTGAACAGAGAATGAAATTGTCTTCCCAAATTGCTGATGCGTATATGCAAGTATGCTGAATTAGAGGCTGCTTTATCATTTCATGGGTTGTAAATGAATGTTACTGTCATGGTGATGTTTTGCCAAACTATTAAATGTTCTGACTGAGTAAGTTTCTCCTTTCAGTTGTTGCTGCTGTTTGTAAAAAAACCCTGCATGTGAGGTAATGTTGTAATATGAAAGAAGAGATTTGGTTTAAAAAAAGTTTGGGGTTCATAACCATTTTTTATAATTTTACCCTACTAGCTTATATTTATATTTCCCCTCCTCCTCCTGTACTTTTTTTCATTTGGATTTGGTGTGTTTGTAACCAGAAAAAGTGACATTAGTGTGTTTCAAAACTAATTAGCTTGGCATCTCTGTTTGCTTTTTTGGTGTTTTCCTACCTCTCCCTAACTTGTTAACAAAACAATACCAGCAAACTAATCCAGGGCAGCTGCAGAAGTGCTGCATGTTCAGTGGTAAACACCACCACATTTTGCCTTGAAGATTTACTTGTATTATGTAAATCCGAATGAGCATAATCTCATCTTCCAGATATAAAGGTGAGCTGGCTATGCTGGTGATGAGAAAGTTGATGGGTTTTTTAACCTGCAAGTTGAGTAGTTTTGTAGGCAAGTTACTGATGGAAAGTAAATGCAGGATGACAACACCTTTCAGTTGTTTCTTGACCATAGCCACAATCTCAAGTGTGACTCTGACAGACATGATGTCCATAGGGATGTGGGATTTTTAAAGTGATTTCTTACTCGATGGATATCCTTTTCAGTAATTAATGTCACGCTTATTTACTTTTTATTTAAGAGAAAAGTAGATGCATATTTTCTGTGGCTTTTTTCTGACCTCATCTGCATTCCATGCATTGCTAACTGTGTTATGACAGTGGGCTTGTTATGCACAGGTCAGACTCAATGTGCTGCAACTTTCTGATCCAATTTGAATGCCTCAGTGGCCATTTGAAAGATTCTTTTAGTAGAATGCTAAAGACACTAGATACGGAAAAACAAAATGAGAGAGAAAATAAACTTGGAGTTCCTTAAACTGTATGTGCAGTCACTTTTTAGGATACAGCCACACCTTTACCTTCTTCCTTGTCTGTTGTCTTACCCGTTTGATGCGGTTGATCTCATTGCCTGCTTTTTCATGCATTGCACAATTGAAAATGCAGCTTTGAACCAAAGCCCAAGAGTTGAAGCTAAAATGTATTTACTGACTGACATTAATTTCCAGTGCTGGCACGAAGAGCTGTTCTACAAAATGTCAGTGAATCCATCAAAGAAGTGCTCAGAGTTCAGTTCAGGCGATCAGTAGAGCTAGAGGTAAGTGATATGAAGTGTGTGCAAGTACTGTTTCATCAATATAATGCAATAGTGGCTTTAATTCACGGGCTAAAATAGTGATTTAAAAACAACCCCTGGGGTACAATATTAGAGAGAGATTTATTCTAACTTAAATGTTAGTCATGTTTTGGGTTTTGTTTGGGGTTTTTTGTTTGGTTTTTTTAACGTGAATATGACATCAGCTTTTTTGCTTTCAGATTCTCATTGTTTTCTAGGACAGATCTTTCTTGGTTTTGCCAGAGGTGAGCAAGCAGTGCCCAGCCTCTACTGCTCACCTCCTTTGCCTGGTGAATTGAAACTGAGCTGAAAAGCTTTTACCCTTTGAAATACCTGTTAAAAAGTGATTCTTCTGCTAGCTGATTATATACTTGGCACATTAAACAAAACAAAACCTGCACAGCCTGTGCTATTCTATGTTACGAGGACATCAACACTTGCAGGGGAAGTGATGGAATCTCAAATGCAAGATTTAGCAGATGAAAAAGGCGGGGGAGAAAAATCAGGTGTGCAATGGTAAAATGTTATTTTTAAGCCTTCAGATAGGTGTGACTCCTGTTCTTCTCCCACTCACAGGGCTAAGAATTGCTGTGCTCTTGGCTTTTTTTTTTGGAAGCTTCCTCTGCTTTGATGTTCAAGGAATCATCTTTGAACAATATTTTTGTTGTTTTCACAAAGTGAGTGTCTGGTTGAGATGAGGCAGAGGTGTACTAATCATAGAATCAACTAGTTTCAAAAAGACCTTTAAAATCATCAAGTCCCAGGACTGCCAAGTCCGTCACTTGTCTCAAATCCTCTTACTGAGAGGAACTGATTGTAGAGGTAGTTTAGGTGTACCTTTGGTGTATAATCAGATACTTCAACACTGGGGACAAAATGAAATGTTTTAATGGAATTACTAGCATAGGTGCAGGTTCAGCTGCACTTGCAATTTTTCATGCCTGCATTTACTCAGTTGTGATAGGCCAGCACCCCATTATCTTACTTTTTTTGAGTCTGTGATCTCATTTTCTTTGTGACGTTAACTCAAGTAGCAGTTTGAATGTTGAACGTAACTCGAGTTTTTCCATGCACAGAATCCCTTGGTGCCTTTAAGTTCTGCTTGCCAGTCTGTGTGGGGAAACAGTGTTTT